AGGGCTCAAGGGGGGGGGGGAGGAAAGGAAGTACAAGAGGCCGGGCATGGTGGTGCATGCCCTGATCCCAGCATTCCAGAGGCAGGCAGATCAGGTGAGAGCAAGGTCAGCCTGATCTACCTAATAAGTCCCTGGCGCGCGCGCGCGCGCACACACACACACACACACACACACACACACGCATGCATGCACGCACGCACGCACGCACGCACGCACGCACGCACGCGAAAGTTTAAGGACAACTAGGGGTAAAGAAGTAAGTTTGTGGCAAACCTGGAAGAAGGTGGTAACAAGTCTGCACAGTAATAATGGCTAATAACTTATAATTTAGGAACAAGCATCACTAGCCTACATTAATCCAAGGATTTTTGTTATGAACTTCATATCCTGCAATATGGATTTATCAGCAACACAAAGATGCTTTCTTTTTCAACTCAATGTCAACACCAAAACCCAACAACAAAATCTATATTGACTACACTTTCATATCTCTGTAAAATTCTTATTTTGAAACAGGAACAAAGTTAATCCAAGCAGATCCCCAGCTGGTGGAATACCCACAGCCATCCTGTGCCTTCTTCACAAAACTCAGGCTAATCGGAGAATTAGAAATGGGTGATAAGAACACAGAACAGTCATCTGTCAGAAGCTGCCCCTTGCCAACAGGATGACACTAAACGAAGCACGGGCACCACACGCCCGCCCTAGTTACACAGGGGCCTAGTCTGAATTAGCCTTTTTGATGTGATACTGTGGCATTAAAATTTATCAATCAGGTGGGCATGGTGGCACACACCTTTAATCCCAGCACCCAGAATGCATAGGCAGGTGGATCTCTGTGAATTTGAGGCTAGCTTAGTCTAATAGCCAGTTCCAGGTCAGCCTATTAGTGAGGCCCTGTCTCAAAAAACAAAAACACTTAACAAAGGGCTGGAAAGATGGCTCAGTGGTTAAAGCACTGGCTGCTCTTGTAGAGGACTCGGGTTCGATTCCAGCACCCACATGGGAGCTACAAACCAGTTCCAGGGGAATCCGAAGCCCTCTTCTGACCTCCGCTGCATTACACGACATGGGTGCACTCACATACATGCAGGCAATACACTCGTACACATAAAAAATAAGAATGATAAAACATTTTTTTTAAAAACCTGATAATTATAGAAACCTCATTTCAGGTTAGGCTGCCAAAATGGGATTAAATCTTTCAACTTTCTAAGGAAAATAAATCAATTCATTAAAGTTAACCATATTACATTAATTTTACATGCGCTTTGTTGTTACCACTACAATTTATCTTCCAAGCATCTGAGAGCAGACATAAAAATTAACTCAGCCAGGCATGGTGGCCCATGCCTTTAATCCAGCACTTGGGAGGCAGAGGCAGGCGGATCTCTGTGAGTTCAAGGCCAGCCTGGTCTACATAGTGAGTTCCAGGACAGCTGGGGCTACAGGAGACCCTGTCTCAAAAATACCCAAAAAAAAAAAAATCTACTCACATCTTTGGGTTCTGAATTTAACTTCCTGGGCAGGAACTGGTCATTTGGAAAGAGGCTTGCTGAGGCTGCTCCCCAGGACTTTACAGACACCTGTGCCTGTGGTTCTAAGGAATGTTTCTGGCTCTCAACACTGTTTTCCCAGGATTTTGGAGTCCCAGGTTGTGTTGAAGCCCGTTCTCTGCCCATGGGAGTGGCCCACGAGCTGCTGGTGTTCTGCTCTCTCTGCACAGATGCCGTCCAGGACACAGGTGGCTTCTTTGGCTCTTGTTCTTTCTTTGGCTGAACCACCCAGGTCTTCGGTGACTCCTGTGTACCCTGCTCCTTCTCAGTGCCACCCACTTCGGACTTGGGAGCTTCTGGTTTTCTCTGACTGACAGGTGGTGTGGAAACCTGTTGCTTCTGGTCTTCCTGCAGAGTTGACCCGAGCTTCCTCTGCTCTACAGAAACCACAGGCTTTGACACCTCCTGGGGCTTAACAGGGGACTCCCAGGACTCCAAGGGTTCCTGCTTCTCTTGGCCATCTGGTTCAGGAAGCACATCCCAACATTTTGGGAGATTTGGTTTCCTGGCATAATTTGGTTCCCAAGATCGTTCTTCGTCTTGTTTTCTTGAGTAATTTACTTCTGTCATATAGCGCCTGTTAAGAAACTAAGCCAGAAAAATTATGTGCTTCAGTATTAAAAAGCATAGAAGACTTTGAAAGTAATGTCCAACACTATTAGTATTCCTACATCCATCAGTTTGGCATGAAACTATGTGACAGGAGAGGCTAGAGAAATGGCTCGGCAGTTAAGAGCACTGGTTGCTCTTGCAGAAGACCCAGGTTCAATTCCCAGCACCCAAATAGCAGTTAACAATCATCTATAACTCCAGTTCCAGGGGATCCACCACCCTCTTCTGATCTCTGCAGGCATTGCATAACATGGGTGTACCTACTTACATGCAAGCAAAACACTCATACACATAAAATAAAAATAATATTTTTTTAAAAAGAAACTATGTGACATGAAATTCCTGTCCTTACCCTACTTGGAGAGACTGGCCTGTTTCTGTATCTACTCTTTTTTCCTCAATTAACAGAAATGCAAACTTTAACACTTCAAAAGCAGAAATTTCTGACTCAATACTGGCAAGAACCACACTGTGATACCACAACCACTTTTACCAAGGTCATTCTGTTTTTGCCAGCCTGAGGGACTTTCTAGCTACCTACTCCCTCCCTTACAAGTCATACCCAAGGACAATTCAATTACAGAAAGTTGTGCTGTTTAACTGTAGGTCTTCTGAGTTCCCAGGTTTTTCTTTATTTCCCCTCACTTTTCTATTATTCTGTGCATTTCTTTCTCCAATTCTTTTCTGCTTTCACAAATTTCAATGTCATTCAAAGACAACAAATACTTTCTGCTAACAACATAAATTCTGAGAACAAAATTCTGCATGTCCTTAAATTCTAACATAAGAGTCTAAAACAACAAGCAGCTGATGCTGGAGAGCCAGTGTGTGTCAAGCTAGGCCCTCTGATACACCATGGAAAAGATATGATCCTCATCTTCACTGCATTGATGAGGACAACGATCCAGCCAGTGACTAAGCTAACAAACTACTAGGCAGAATTCAAGCTCAGTAAGCCCGTTCTAGCCTCAGATTCTAAACCACAGCACTAGATGAAAGTTCAAAAGCACCTCAGCAAAGGACCTGTGCACCTCTCACCTCCTGTGGTTGTATCTCTGGCTGTGCAAGCTCCATAACAGACTCTGGGAAGATAAAAGAACAAATATGTTCTAAGTTTTGAGACTGATTACAGCTGAATTCATTCCTGCAACATATTTCAAAGGACTCAGAATACAAAAAGAATTAATGCAATTAAATATATCCACAGCAGGACTCTTCTAACTATTGCTTTCTGGTCAAAAGGATGTGGGGTCTGGAGAATGTGGGTCAGCAGTATAGCACTTGCACAGCACGTGTGAGGTCCTGAATTTGATCCCCAGCACAGAATGAAAGAAAAGGAAGAAAGATCATAGGTTGTAAAGGTAACCATAATAGACGCTATTATTTCTCCTAGAAGAGATACTAAAAGTCAGGGCTACAGAGATGCTCAGTGGTTAAGAGCACTGGCTGCTCTTGCAAAGGACCATGGTTCATTTCCCAGCATCCACATGGTGGCTAACAACCATGCATAACTCAGTTCCAGGGGATTCAATGCCCTCTTCTGACCTCTGCAGGCATTGCGCAACATGGGTGCTTACACACAACGCAGGCAATACACTCATACATATTTTTTTTTAAAAAAAAGATAACTAAAGTCAAGTTTCCACTAAAAATTCATTTCTTTAAAGACAAGGGTCTCTCTATACAGCCCAGGCTGGCCTCAAATGCACAATATCTCTGCTTCAATCTCCTGCGCTGAGAACAGGTGTGGATGGACCATGTCCAACTAAAAATTTATTCCTGATTGAAAATAAGCTTATCTCCTCCTACCCAAAAAAGCCTTCTTAAAACTGGAATTACAGCCAGGCATGACAGTGCCACCTTTAATTCCAGGACTCAGAAGGCAGAAGCAGGTGGATCTCTGAGTTTAAGGGTAGCCTGATCTTCATAGCGAGTTCTAGGCCAGCCAGGGCTACTTAGTGTTCAAAAAAAATAGAATTACAGTTCAAATTTATGGGTACACATCAATTTGGCTTGAAACAGAGTGTCCTGCAAACCACGCTACAGTCAGGAGACTTATTATAAGAGAGGAGACATGGAAACACTGGGCTTGGTATTGAACCTGGGTGAAGCAAGGTAGGAGACATAGCTCATCTGGTAGAGCATTTGCCTAGCATGCACAAAGCACTAGGTTCCTAGGTTTGCTCCCTAGCACAACATAAACCAGGCCTTGTGGTACAAGCTTTAATCCCAGCACTGGCGAGGTAGAGGCAGAAGGATCAGAGGTTCAAGGCCATCCTCAGTCACACGGTGAATTTAACGCCAGTTTGGTCTACAGGAAACCCTGCAGGGAGGAAGGGAGGAAGGGAGGGAGAGATGGAAAAGCACAGAAAGAAGGGTTGGGGCTGGAGAGATGGCACAGTATTTGTGAAGACCATTTGCTGCTCTTCTAGAGGACCTGGGTCGAGCTCCCAGCTCACAACTGCACACAAGTGGTGCACATACACACATTCAGGTACACACATATATACTTAAAAAATATATAAAATAAAAAGCCAGGTGTGGTGGCACACACCTGTAGTCCTAGCACTCGGGAGGCAGAGGCAGGTGGATCTCTGTGAGTTCAAGGCCAGCCTGGTCTACATAGTGAGTTCCAGGACAGCTGGGGCTACAGGGA